CTAAAACTAGCTACTTATTGGAGGAAACTAAATTAGATAAAGTGCATTCAAATAATATTATGTTTGACCCTTTAAAATAGGGATGGGTTAGTTTCAATCAATAAACTCGTAAATGATATAGAAAATGAAAAAGGTTTTCTCCAAGATTGATTTGTGTATGGGTTAATCTCAGAAAGTTTATGTTTAAAATAGAGATGGGTTACTCTCAATGAATGCGGTTGCTTTCAATCAATAAACTCATATGAGTTGTGCAAGCATGATTTGATTTGTGAATGAGTTAATCTTGGAGAGTTTGGNTTCATTAAATAATTTTATATATGTTAATTAAATATTGAGAATAATATAAATTAACTATTAATAATAACTTAGAATATTATATTAATTTAATAAAATTAACCATTTATTAGATCAAGTAAACGTTGCATTTAATATAAAAAAAAATTAAATCCAATATAAAATGTCACAAAAAATATAAAAATAACAACACAAAAGTAAAATTTAATTTTCTAAATCAGTATATTCTTTTCACAAATGATTAGCTCAACAACCCATAGGGTGAAGAAAGCAAAATTAAAAAGGAAAGACGATGAAAAAGTTTCGACAATTATTGAAACTATTAAAGAAAAAAATCGACAGCTCGCATAAATTTTCAATCGGGGCAGCTCATATAAGGCACAAAATTACGAAATCCAAATGAAAAAAATTGGCATTGGCAGAATATCGGAAAGATAATAAAATTTTATTCAAAGATTTGAGTTTTTTTTCAAAATGAGCAATAAAAAATTATGCAAAAAAGAGTAACAACATAGTCAAGGATTTTAAAATACCTCTAATTCTTTAGGCCAATATTTTGATAATTTTAGAGATCTAGGACTAATTCTACCAGAATATTAAATTGTTATTCTAGTTTATGTTGTATTTTCTTTTAATTTTAGTGTTTTTAATTTAGTGTTAATTTATTTTGAGTTATTGAAGTTTAATATTTGTATTGTAATGAACTTTTGTTTTTAATTTTTCATTAATTTTTTAATTATCGAATTATTTTTAAAATTTATAATTATAAATATTAATAATTAATAATCAAATTAACATATATACAAATTAAAAAAAATCAAATAACAAAAAATAAGGATATAAATATGATAAAATTTAATGTAAGGACTAAAATGTAAGGTTTATTTTGAAAAAGAGAAGAAAAATGACTTTATTAAAGGTAATCAATGAAAGATTTGAGTAGAAACTTTTTGTTTAAAAGATCTTAACCTAATATATATATAACGTGTTTACGATAATTATTTTCTTGAATAAATNAATCATCATCAACAAATTGATAAGTTATTTTTTCTTTATTAAGCATCATGAGGCTTTGGAAAACTAGTTGTCAAGCATTATGAATACAAGTTTGCAGATGATACAATGCGATGCTAAGGATGATGATGATGGCTGCAGCAGCCTCTCCAGAAATTCCATTAATCAATTATAAAACAAATCACTATCTTAGTGTAATGTTTAAAATCCATATGAACAAATGTGAACATCAAAATTACACTTCAGACTTTTCCCATAAGAATAAGATTCACACTTCAATTTCATTTTTGTTATAATTACTAATTTAAGAAATCTCTTTCAAAGTTTTGTTTCATTATAAGTAGTTCCATCTAATTGACAAATAAACTTACTACTTATGCTTAATTGAGAAATTAATTAATCATAATATTCATAATTGTGCATAGAAAAAGAAAAACAATTTTCATAATTTTTTTTTCAATGTTTTTGCTAGTAAAAATCTTTAATTAGAATTTCACGCACTCATTTTTCACCTAAACGTTAAAAAGTTATTACTTTGTTATACGGTAAATTCACCAGGCATGAAACCTCAACACGTGTTCTATGACCAAGCAGTTGGTGTGTAGATTCCTGCAACCCGACATGTGATCATGCAAGTGTTTGGGCTAGGTGTTACACCAAGAAAGGGTGGCTTCCTCTATAAGATTGCCACGATTTGCTTCAATAGTAAAATTTATAGTTGAACTGTCATTCAGATCGAGTGGCAACTTATGAGAGGACTATCTCACTATTAAGTCTCCAATCAAGACAGATTGTCAGGTCATGTGTCGTTTAATGAAAGGGTTGTTTCATGAGCAAGACCACACACGCAACAATATAAATAGGGGTCTTCCACTCCAAATTAGGGATCCGAATTTTCATTTTCTCAATAACTATAGAGTAGTTAACTCTTTTGAGAAAATAATTTTTGTAAACACATTAATAAGATAACAGTGAACGTAAGAATTGTGTCTTACATCCAAACCACTTTACATAGTTTCACTACCAAACACTTGTTCTAAATAATTCATATGAAATTAATCAAATTTGATGAAATTGAACAGTCATTGCACTTAATAGCCACTCTTTCAAATAATTGGCACGTATTCCTATTAATCATCATAATTTCAGTTATTAAATTAAAAACAAATTTTAATCCAATAATTGGACAATGATTATTATTAAAAAGAAAAATAACCATATAACCAATAAATTAAATGTTGATATTCTAATAAATAGATTTAACCAATTAGAATCATCATCAACTAAGCATCATGAAACTTTGGAAAACTAGTTGTACAGCATTAGGAATAAAAGTTCGTGGCTCATCTAAAGTCAGATAATACAATGCGATGGTGGCCGCAGCAGAAATTTCATTAATCAATTATAAAACAAATCACTATCCTAGTGTAATGTTTCAAATCCATATGAACAAATGTGAACATCAAAATTACACGTTAGACTTTTCCCATATGAATAAGATTCACCATTCAATTTCATTTTTTCATATTTTAATTTGGTTATAATATTAACTGCAATCTAGATGATTATAACGCCAGGCATATAGCTTAAAATGTTTCTTTGTATTAGGTTTGATTCAAGGTGCATATAGTTTTAACCAAGTCTTGCCAAGAGCTAACCACAATTAAGTAATTAAGCTTCACCTTCCTATTGACTGGATATTATTATTATAATAATGTGAATTTGATTTATATGGTGTGGTTTTTCCTTGCTGAACATGCTCTTTTGTAACTACTCCCTTTTAGCTTTTACAATAACATAATTAATTAATAACAAGATAAAGAAAGATTAATCAAGTCATAATTGGAGTTATTAAAATATAAAATTTATTGACTTTGTGAACCCTAAAGAGTTGTGTCTTACCAGATTCCAGACATAAATTAAGCAAGTCATCTTTGGCTTTTGCTGAAGCTTCCATTGAAAAAACGATATCGTAGCAGTCCACTTGGGAGTGTTCTTGTGTTGAGTTTCTATTCAACAGGATTCATAGATTTTATCTGCTGTGACCATTTCTTGATATTCAATTCATGGGATTCATAAATTCTTGCATGATAGCTAGATTTACTTCGTCAGTTTGTATGAAACCAATTGAAATAGGATCATTCTAGAATCTAGGATTATAATTAAACTTCTTCAAACTTAGTAATTAATGATATTACTAAGACTCTTTGATGTGAAGAAGACATCAATTCAAATTCAATGTACTAGAACTTTCAAAACTTAAGGTAAATTCATATTAGGTATAAATTAGTAATAATAAATAGGAATTAATTTAAACTTTTCATGATAGTTCTTGACTTTATTCAATTTCTATCAAGAAAAACTTAAATAATAGCTTTCGTTCCTTCAGTAAAATGAGGCGATGACCGTCCAATAGAATAAAGATATACTGTTAGTTTTCTAAACCATCTGTCATAGCAGTGGTTACTGATGAATAAGAATTGATGGTTATTAATGAGTCATAGAAAAACTTGTTGAAATAAAAAAAAATACATATAATATGACAACACATGTGTTAAATGAGAAGTTTAAAGTATTCTATATAAATATTTCTCAAATCTATAAAATGGAATGAATATTTATTTATATATAAATCTAGACTCTAATTAATTAAAGTAAGAAGAGGTTTAAGTTGTGAATTAATCCATGTTCTTAAACTTTTTTTCTTTCTGTTTTGTTTGGTGTGCTCAGCTTATTAGTGCTGTTTATATCTGATAGTCGGTTAATTAATTCTTTATACTTATTATTATTATGAGGAATTACTTTGGCTAGTAGCCTATATAGATCATCCCAAAATTTCCAATTTTATAAACTATAGTTATAGCTAACTTCGAAGCCTGGATCATTGACCTCAGAATAACTTGATTATTTGTAACTCCAAATTGAAATATGTGCCTAGTAAACAAAAGCTGCGAATAAGCTTGAATTATCATATCTATTTGACGAGCTAAGCTTATGCTATAAAACTAATTTTTTCAAACGTTAATTTATCAAATCCTTCGTGAGCTCTATAAATTAACCCCCACAACTTGCTAAGTTATAATATATTAAAAGCATGCAATACAAGATTCATATTATATACAATATATATCTCAAATGGATGAACATAATACAATGTTAGTTACATAATTAAAATGAATATCTAGGTAGATCATAATCTGGTCCCAATTTATACATTAATTAAAACAACAACCTGTAAGGTGCATTGAAAGTTTCACTTGGCAAAATAGGCAAAATTATAATAATATTTGGTGGAGAAAGAGAAAACAATAAAGAAAGGGCAAAATAATATAAAGTTAATAATTAATTTATAAATGAAATTAAACGCTAAGAGCTACATGACAAAAATGGTATCAAAAAACAAGGGGGTGACTGGTGAGTTACGGTAACATTACATAAAATTATATTTGAGCGGCCAAACTCCATCTGACCCACCAAAATTAAAATATGAAGAGACAAACCCATTAACATTTCTCCAACTTGCACTTTCTTCTAATCTAATCCACCAAAACATATCCTCCAAAATTCCACTTTCGTCCCTTTCTATCTCCTTCATCTTCCATTTCATCATCGATTTCGAAGATACAACAACAAACCAAAACCAGTCCTCTTTAATCTTTAATCTTTACCCTAAAAAAAAAAAAAGCAAAAGAAAATGTTTTTTTTTTTTTTTTAAAATCCTATCTACCTAAAAGTCAAAGAAATTGTTGAAGAGGTCTATCGATGGAGTTGGAGACGTTATGTGAGGTGAAAGAAAGCTTGAAGGACTTGGCATGAAACTACCCTCCATGAAATTCTTGTTGCCGTGAAGCACTGGACTCAAATCATGGAAGAAATTGCTGAAAGAGTTTGGATCAGACGGCGGAGAAAAGAAGCTCGGTGATATCATGGGGAGTGAAGTGGGTCCTGGAGATAAAATCCCTGGAAAAAAACTTGATCTTTCGATATTATGATCCATCTCAATCCCTTCTACAAAACCGCCAATGTTATTAGCTTCATGATCGTGGCCAATAACTTGTTGCTTCTTCATCTTATCGGGGGTCTTTGCGGCTATTTCTATGCTCGCGTATCTTGCAGCAGGAGAAATTGCACCGCTTGTGTCGTTAAACGGATCGTATGTCGATGAAGAAGACGACATATTGGCGGCAACGGCGGAAGAAGAAGTAGAAGAAGAAGAGCCGGTGAGCCGTTGAACTAGGGTCATAAAGTCACTAGGGTTTGTGTGAATCACCTTGGGTGATACAGTGTAGATTATCACCGGAGGCCGCGGCGGTGCTTGGTGGTGTGGGTGGTGTTGTTGTTGGTTTTGTTGCGGCGGTACTGGTGGCTTCCTGATCTTGTAGGAGTCTTTACGAACTTTTAAAGGCGCTGGTCGAGGACCCTGAAGCTCTCGCCGGGGAGATTTGCTGGCGGGAAAATCCGATGAATCCATGAAGATAAAATCAAACCAAAGAGAAGAACAAGAAGAAGAGAAAAAAGAAGAAGAAGATGATACTGATATGATGATGAAAATAAAGGCATTATTATTGTATTTTTAAAGCTAAGAATATTGAAATATTAAAAGAGGGAGGAAGTCAATGAAAATTAAAGAGATTAAATAAATAATTAAGGAGAGGATTAATTAGTAAAAATTGGGGTTAATTTTTTAAGACAAAAATTGGGGCCGGTTTCGTGCTGTTATTAATGTTTGAACATGTCTTAGTTGCTTTGCTTAGGTATAGAATTGATGAGATTAAATAGAAGAGGTCTTGTCTTGTCGTGTGGCAACCACGTCACCATGAGAGATGATTACGTAGCTCCTCCAAGTCAGCATTTTTTAATAAAAGAAATATGTTAGTCCAATTAATGTCTCCACCTTTTTGTGTAGCTTTTCATCCCATGTTATTCATGATTTTCTAAAAGAAAAATGGATGAAACTACTTTTGTTTATTTTTATATTCTCTACACTTTTAATTCTTTGTTTGTTATATGAAAATAGAACAATTTTGATTTGTTTAATTAGTATTTTAAGATCGAAGATCGCCATGGGCAGGGAGAGATCGTCACCTTCCTACTCTAAAATCAATTCCAGGATAGATTAGATTTTCATCCCTGTCTCATCATCCACATGTTGCTTTAAATCATTACCCAAGGAGTAGGATTAATATAGAAAGTTGTCATATTTGTATTTAGTATTGTATTATTTTTTTATTATATATCATAAAGGTAGACAGACCTGTTAAAGGGCGAGTGGAGGCTGATGACCACACTAAAAATATATATTTAATTTTCCTATTAAATTACCCTGGAATTTTAATAAATTACTTTATTTGTCTTGGTAGCAATTTTTTTTTTTTTTTTTTTTTTAACCGTAATGTGTGGGTTAGTTTACGTACACCTTTACTAATTTTTATGGTCTATTGAACGCTCTACAAGTTCAAAGAACCAGGTAAATCACAATATTATCGTAGTAAATAGCCCTAAAGTTTGAATTCGAGAATTCAAGGAAATGAATAAACCTCTTATACCTCCAGGCCAATCCCTTGGATTCTTTTGTAGTATTATTTTTTGGGTTTATCCAAATGTATTATCTCTAAAGGTTTTAGAGAATTGAAAATAAATCATGTCTAGTTTGACAAAAGGGTAGTGCTAGACATACAAAGAAATTTATAAATATTTTTTTTGTACAAAGTGAAGTGACAGAAGATGAATAAAATAGTGAATATGATAAGTTTGACTTTTTATATTTATTTTTTTATTTATCTCTTCTCGCATTACTTTGTATAAGAAATCTTTTTAAATTTTGTCGTGCTTGTTGAAAAAATAGGTAAATACTATTACAAGGGAAAGATTCAGGAGGAGATAAATCTTAGGAAAGATTAAAATGAATATGATGAGTTGAAAGTGGGCTCAACTGGGCCAGATGTGTGGGCAAGAACTAGAAGAAGTGTATAAATGGAGTCAGGCAAAGTTGTGAAATAGTCAAATGAATTGAAATTTAATCTATTTTGTGCTGCGAGTGTGACACCAAAGCCGTCAGGCTATTTTTTTATACTGACACTAGTAATTTTCAAGTCTTGAGTCAGTCAAGCTACAACTACTGCTACTAGTTCAAAGAACCTGCACTTCATCCTGAAACCCAATTAATGACATTAACGAATTAAAATAGTTCTGATTTCTGGGCTCATTCTAACCCAAATTACACCACAAAAGTCAAAATTGGTTACTAGATTTGGGCTCAGTTTGATGATTCAATTATGACTTAATTAATATTTGTTTATATAACTGTCTTGTTCAATTCATGTTCATTTCATGACTTCCGGTATTGAGAATATTTGAAAAAAAAAAAAAAAATTTGATGTATTATATAGAATTATTTTATTATATTCGACGTCGAAAATCTTTTTCAAAATGTGTCTTAAGGATACATATTAATATAATTAATTAGTCTTTTAAGTGAATTCTATGAAAGTATAGGCACCTTTGCTTGACCAATTCAAGATGGTCTCCCTTTGTTCAATTGGAATCCTTCAATTTTCATGGCGTCTTTGTCATTGGAAAAATCATAACCTAATTTGACTTCAATTGAATTTTACCCATTGAACAGTCAAAGCATATTAAATCTCTGTATTATATGGAGACGCTAAGACGAGGCAGGTGGTATAGTTTTGGTTGTCAATGGGTCCATCTGAGTTAATTGTCTTGGCTAGGGTCCGCTGTGCTACCTTTATTTTTTTAAATCGAAATTCATCTCTGTGGAATTTTGTTTGGTTCTAGTCTTCTGGACAAAGTTAGCCTCAAATTATTGCAGGTGTTCGTTTACCATCATTGGTTTCGAGTTCAGAACTTTAAATAAACACAATGATTGATAAAGTCTTCTTAGTTTATTACAAACTGACTTAAAAAAAGAAACAAATAATTCTGAAGCTAGCATATATTGTGTCCAGACTCAAACCTTTTTAAAAGAAGGGTTAGATTAATTTAAACTAAACAAACATTGTATCAATCTTAATTGATCTAATCTGTTAACTTGTTTTTGACTGGTCTTGTCGATACTATAAAGGGGGCGTTTGGTTGGAGGTAATAGAAGATTACCGAAGTTATGTCATCTTATATTACTTTATTATTATGTTTGACTGTCAAGTAATATAAAATTTCGGTAATCTTGTATTATCAATAGGGGGCGTTTGCTTGGAGGTAATATAAGATTACTAGGATTATGCTATCTTATATTACTTGATTACCATGTTTGATTGTCAAGTAATATAAGATTCTGGTAATCTTATACTACCAATAGTTGTTACTGTTGGTAATATTGAAAGTAATATGATTACCTCTATTTTCTTAGATATTGTAAGATTACCAAGGTAATTTTATTTTTATTACAATTCTATCCCTTATTAATGAAAATTTTGGACAATAATGCCCCTGTTTTAAAATCAATTTACATTAATATATCATTTCAATTTTACCCTTATTTAATTAAGTTTTTGGACAAAAATGTCCTTATATTTAAAACAAATTACAGACCACCACCGCCACTCAGCCACCATCGCCGATAGCGGGCCAACCACCACGGACCACCGCCAAGAAGTCGTTGGAGTCCTAAAAATGACAGTGAGTCACTGGGAGGCTTCGATATGGCCGTTTCTGGGCGACATCTGGCCGTTAATGGCCAAATCCATCGATCTAGCGCAAAGTGGCCAAAATAGATCTGGCCATTTCTGGCCGGATATGGCCGTTTTCGGCCATCAATATTGCCAAAAACAACAATATCGGAGCCTCACGGTCACGGTGACTTTTAGTGACTTTCGACGGTGGTTTACAGTGGCGGCAAGCGGCAGTAGGGGTGGGGGTGATTTTGTCATAAATTAAAGTTTTATATAAGTAGGGATATTTTAGCTAAATTTGAAATATTAGGGGTTAAAAAATTAATAATAAAAATAATATTATATTAATATTTAAAAAAAGAGCAATTTAGTAATTTAAATAACATACTCACTAATTTATTCCCCCATAACCAAATATATTAATATAACATACCCACCAACTAACCAAACACATTTTTCTAAAAATTCTCAGTAATCTTCAAGGTAATATAAGATTCCAGTAATCTAACATTCCCAGTAATCCAACATTTCCTGAACCAAACACACCCATAGTTGTTACTGTTGGTAATATTAGAGGTAATATGATCACCTCAATTTTCTTAGGTATTGTAATATTATCTTAATAATCTTATTTTTATTACAATTCTATCCCTTATTAATACAAATTTTGGACAATAATGCTCATGTTTTAAAATAAATTTACATTAATATACCATTTCAATTTTACCCTTGTTTAATTAAGTTTTTGGACAATAATGCTCTTATATTTAAAACAAATTACAGACCACCACCACCACCACCATCGCCACGACTATCGACAGCAGGCCAACCACCACGGACCATCGTCAGAAAGTCGCCAGAGTCCCTAAAAATGATCGAGATTTGTTGGGAGGCTCCGAAATGGCCGTTTTCGACCATATTGATGGCCGAAAATGACCATATCAGGCCAGATCTGGCAAAAAATGGCCAGATTTATTATAGCCATTTTCGACCAGATCAATGGATCTAGCCGTTAACAGCTAAATCTGGGCTAGATCTAGCCTTTAACGGCCATGGACGGCCAGATCTTGCCTAGATTTGGCCAATAATTGCCATGGATCTCGCCAAAATGGCCAGAATAGATCTGGCCGTTTTCGGCCATCAATATGGCAAAAAATTGCTATATCGGAGCCTCATGGTCACGGTGAGCTACTCACGGTGACTTTCGGAGACTTCCGATGGTGGTTTGCAGTGGCGGCAGTTGGCGGCAAAGGGTAGGGGTGATTTTGTCATAAATTAAAGTTTTATATAAGTAGGGGTGTTTTAGCTAAATCTGAAATATTGGGGGTTAAAAAAAATTATTCAAAAATTAATAATAAAATTAGTATTATATTAATATTTAAAAAGAGGACAATTTAGTAATTTAAATAACATACCCACCAATTTATTTCCTCTAACCAAACATATTAATATAACATACTCACCAACTAACCAAACATATTTTTCTAAAGATTCCTAGTAATATTTAAGGTAATATAAGATTCCAGTAATCCAACATTTCCTGAACCAAATACACCCAAAGAGATTTGGTTTGGGTCCACTGTTCTATGCCATATCATGGTGTTGGGATTAGCCATTACAAGCTATAGCCAATTGGGCTTGCTCAATGCCCCCACGCCGTGCATGCATTCATACACAACAATGGCCGGTGCTGACGTGAACATGACATTGGTTCGTGTTCCAACTCCTTAATCCTAGGATACCAAGGGCGGCGAGATGACATGTCGATGCAAGGGTTTTGTACTGATGCATGTGCTAATGTTAGGGCACATTGGCCCTATGTAGCTTTGTCAACGAGTTGCTGAAGTAATCTTTAGCATTGGGATTTGGGAAAGGGGCGGCCCGACGGAAAATTACTTCTTAACCTTGAGT